TCGTCTCGTGTAGTCACGTAGTGTAGTCGATACGCGTCCACATCACGCAGTACACTCGTAGTACTGCACGAGTGAGTGTGTTGCGCGTATCTGTCAAATATCTACATTGTTCTTTTGGCTATTCATACTAGTTCCCTTAATTATTATCTACGTACTTCTGTTGCATAACAATTCCTATTTTGCTATGGTTGCCTGGAAGAAATCATTTGCAACCATAAGACGCTTACTGTACGCTTATCATTATATTCGTATTTTATAATTAATATAGACAATAAAATAAAATTCAAATGACGAAAGCATGCATGGCTATTTCATTGAATGTATATTATGCATATTGGTTGTCGAATATTCATGCGTGGGTTCAGAAATTTATTTTGTATAAACTAAGGAAGGTATATGAAGCTGCGATACACCCGAATTGTGCTGCCTTAAAGGTACAGTAATATTTAATTTAATTAATCTGTAACACGACATTCATTGACTGTTAGGCGGTACGTAGCTCGACGGGGCCCGGGGCTGCTATTTTTATATAGTTTTAGTACTTTGAAGTATCGTGGCCTGAAGGATAAGACGTCCGGTGCATTCGTATATAGCGATGCAACGGTGTTCGAATCCCGCAGGCGGGTACCAATTTTTCTAATGAAATACGTACTCAACAAATGTTCACGATTGACTTCAACAGTGTAGGAATAACATCGTGAAATCAAAATCAAATCCGAAAAATAATAATTTGCGTAATTACTGGTGGTAGGATCTCTTGTAGTCCGCACGGGTAGGTACCACCACCTTGCCTATTTCTGCCGTGAAATAGTAATGCGTTTCGGTTTGAAGGGTGGGGCAGCCATTGTAACTGTATAATTATGAGACCTTAGAACTCATATCTCGAGGTAGGTGGCGGCATTAATGTTGTAGATATCTATGTGCTCCGATAACCACTTAAAACCAGGTGGGCTGTGAGCTTGTCCACTCAACTATGAAAAAAAAAAAACTTGGATATCGTGATGTTCGCAAGAAGACCCTTCACGTTGGAAGCTTTTAGTTCCAAGTGAAGTTACGAACAGTAATGTGATTTACGATCGATCTGAGAAGTCTTTACCAGTTCACAGACAGCACAGTGTGTGAGGTCGCGTTCAGCCCTCCTTCGTATTACGTGTACACACACACACACACACACACACACACTCTTACGGTAACAAAGAATTTGTATTTGAAACTTCGATTTCAAGACATTGTTGCAGAATCTGAATACTTTCTGACTATTATTTCACAGTAAGTGCTTAGTTTAATTTGGCCAGTGGCGACAGTTGCATGGCGCCGCGTGGTGTGCACCGTCCAGAGTCTACAGCGTGTGCCGTGCAACACATTTACGTCGATTTCTCCCACACTCAAACAAATATGACAAATCCTTCCCTGTACGATTGATGATGAGGGGGAGATCACGAAGAACGAACGAGCTAACTTAATATTCTCAACATTTTGGTTTGTAATCTTCTGTTTTATCGTAAAATAAATAATAATATATATGTATGTCAATCCATTTTCATTACTGAATTTATTAAATCTAAATGAATTCATCTGAATCCATTATCCATTATCCGAATACTGTGGATATATCTTGTCAATTCGCATCTTTTATTTAAACACGTCCATTAATTTGAGGGTAGAGTTTACCGTATGGCGGGATGAACATTCAATGTTTGACAGTTACGAAACCCATGAACATTTTGTACGGGAAAATGTTTTTTCTTTTAATTAATTTTTCGTCAATTTTTCAAATTTTTTAGTGAATGAATGAATGATTGAATGATGAATGAAATATGTAGTTATTATATCATAATTACTTTAAAAAAAATTGTTATAATATTATTTACCGATTTTTTTGTAAATTATTTTGTAATGTATTTTTGAGATATATAAATAGTCTACATAGTGTAACGGAGCGACAGATCCAGACGTTGGAATGCCGTCGAACCAGTCTGACAAGGGCGAGTGGTAGTCGCGCCCCGAGGCCTCTGGATGGAAGCAGACGATGTCCGTACTCTCCGCCACTAGCGCTGTTCACGCCTAATGTCGTTGTGCCTCACACTAAATTGGATCGTCTCACCTTTGTGCACTGTTACAAATATTCATCCCACAATTATTACAGTTTGTCTTCGAAAAAGGATCACAAAACTAGCAAAATAAATTTAATCACATCACTCTCCATGTTCTCTATGAAATCAAAAACACATTTCCTATGTTAGTGTTATTTGAATGAGCAGTCATTGTCACTGTCCAGCTACGTTAGGAATCAAAACATATTCAGTCAGTTAGTTTCCTTGCGAGGAAACTAAAAATGTAACATTGAATGTGCCCTACATTACTTTTGGAACTTAAATTGAATAAAAAATAATCTAATGGCTTATTGCAGCACGCGGTCAGCGACGACAGACAGACAGACAGACAGACAGATATATGCCCCGTTGAGCAATGGATTCTAAAAGGATTCCGATTTCTTTAAGAAAGGAGCTTCCACTAAAATATCTCGGAACAATGATCTCGTTATTAGAAGAAAATAATTAGGGATCCAATTTTTTACCGAACGAATCTTGTATCCAAGAAAATTAATTATTTATTTCTTTGTTATGGTTTTAGGTAAATATAAAATCTATTTTCGCTCGCTTTTTTCCCTGCCATATCTTTGTAGCCTAAGGGGCTATACCATTTCAAACGGACTGGTAGGTGAGCTCACGGGCTCAACCTGAGAGAATTGCAAGTGCAGACTTTCGCTAAACCTACTACCGGATCGGAATCGCGACCCACTGAGAAGATCCGGCGAAAAACTTAGTGCGTTGTGTCTGTGAGCTAGTTCGCAAGTTAAGCTCTTCATCGTAGCTGACGAGAGTGGAGCCTTGCGGATCTTCGGCCAAGGTCTGACGCGGGGGTGTTATTTGTGCTATCCCGCGCAAGTTGCACAACATGTGCGTCGCATAGTCTGTGTATCAATTTGTTTAAAAATTATCTACGTAAATTTGGAATTAATACAATTTTTATCACACGTTTAGCATACGTCATTCTTCGTGGGTCGTGGACCTAAGTCTAAAGCCTAAGGCTTAAAAGCTTATAGTGATATCTTTTATTGAGTCTACGGCTGAATCCCTTTTAAGTTACGCTCTGACACGCTGATCAACCTACTAGCTCGTTAATAAGGGTTGCCATTTCACAGTTCACATAGACTCGACCGTCTTAAAATAGTATATCTATTTGTATGCCTTAGTACAGGATCAATGCAAGTGGGCACTCCGGCAGTTGTCTCTGTGCGTTATTTGGTTTACGTCTCTTTCCGTTTATTAAAAAATTTGTCCATCGATTGCATCGCGTATCGCCAACCAATCGACGTCTGTTGTAGAAATCGAAATCACCGAGTTAGTGAACGAAGTTAACAAATTGTGAGAATGACAGTTCACATTAACGATCCATTACTGAAGTCATCAACAAGTCCAACAACGCGGCCAGTGTTAAAGGGAGTTCCAAGTTTTATAAGATCCCGAAATGAGTATACCTGTATAAAGACTGAATTATGAAGTGGAAAACCTATTTAAATAACACCGACCGATAGAGTGTACATCGCGCCACTAACGAGTCGACTCGGACGAGAGGGCGAGAGGGCGAGAGGGCGAGGGGGCGAGGGGAAACTTGACGGAGGAGTTAGGGGGAGGTAATGACCGAGGAAAGACAAAAAGAACAGCGGTTGAGAGTGTAAAAAATTGCAAGCTTTATTGACAAAGTTTAAATAAAAACTTTTTGCCATACTCGTTATATAGGGTTTTGAAGATACTGAAGGTTGTTGCATAATGTGAACTATTATAATTTTATGATAAATAAGCACACACTAATTGCCGACATTGGTTAATTTAATTGGGAATCCGATAAAATTTGATCTGTTCTATGCTTTACGATGGATATAAATATGTAGTTTATTTGTTTTATTATTTTAAAGAGCACCTCGCACCGAGTGCTAGACACGCACGTGCTAGGTCTGTGTTATGGGAATTATACATCGGCGCCTCAACTCAGCTTATATTTTATACAAAAAGGCTAAGGGTGAGCTTTATTGTGGCATGCAGCTCTACATTTAAGAACAGCAAGATACATTCTGGATTGTGCATAATTTGTCTCTGAACTTTTTATAAACAATGAACCCGCAAATCAAACTCGCAAAATTATAATTTGCGTAATTACTGGTGGTAGGACCTCTTGTGAGTCCGCACGGGTAGGTACCATCGCCCTGCCTATTTCTGCCGTGAGTCAGTAATGCGTTTCGGTTTGAAGGGTGGGGCAGCCGTTGTAACTATATTGAGACTTAGAACCTGTATCTCAAGGTGGGTGGCGCGTCTATGCTGTAGATGTCTATGGGCTCCAGTAACCACTTAATACCAGGTGGGTTGTGAGCTCGTCCACCCATCAAGCAATAAAAAATTTTAAAAAAGAACAAGAAAGTTTTTATAGAAGCTTTTATTATTAACTTATGACATGAAAACGCAATCTTGACCTCTGCCTCTATAATATCTTAACAACCTTCGCTATGGGCCGTGAGCATTCTTGAACATACTTCACGTTTCATCCAAGAAGCGCGTAGTCCATGACATTGAGCCATTAAACAGTTTACGGACTACAATGAATGTTCCATTTTCCGTGTGATATAAAGCTGTTCCAAAAGCTCATAAAAGTTTGTGAGCGTGCAATACCCGTAATTACTTTTGGTTTTCTATAGATACTTCACACCGTAACATCACGCCAGTGACACAATGATGGCAGTTGTGCCGAGCCAGACTGTCGGACTGCCATCGGACACTTCCCATTAGCGCACATCCTCGCTGGTAGATAAGGTAGCTGACAGCATTAACGTTCTTGACGTCTAAAGGCTCTAGTGGCTACTTAGCACTAAGCGGACCGTGAGCAGGTTTTTACATTTCTCATATCTATCATCTCTCATACAATAAATAAAAACATAAACTTACGTGACAATGGTCACTGGGGACAAACAGTTGCGTCTGGCACTCCAACGATCTGGAAAACAAGACAACTTCATTAAGTAAAGATATACATATATAGATATATCACAGGCCTACACAGCTCTACACATACTCGTAGAGCGCCCAGTATAGGAGTGCCAGCTGTTAACGCCTTGCTCTAGTAATAAATCTCTAGTGCTCTGACACATCCTTCATCGTTGCCGCGATGTGTTCGTGAGAGACGGTAACCACCAAGAGTCAACCGATAGCATCGCCGACTTGCAACTTTGTCGCTACGTTGTTCAATAAATTATTCACATGTTATTATCTATTTCCTGAAAAATGACGTAATGCACTCTCAAACAGCAGCTGTCTGTAACATTCTAAACGTAAAGATTACATTTCGTAAAAGAAACGCCCCAGATATAGCTCAATGATTTAATCATGCATGCCAACACGTGGCTCGACACATAAAAAAAAACTTACTAGTTTTGAGGCTACAAGTTGTCATGTAGAGACGGACTCTACAATGTAACTTGGTTCGCTTTGACAATATACACAAGAACATCTCACACAAGTTTAGTGCTGCTTTATATTATATCGTCAGCCGAGGGTCATAGCTCAAGAGGACGGTATTTTCACTTTAACGCACATGAGCACGTGCTGTGTGTACTGGCTGTTCGTGTGCTGTCGCGGAGCTAATATTACGAGTACAAACTTGAGGAAATCTCATTCTGATATTGTTTCATCGAGACTGCATTAATTTCCTCAACTTTTATTTCCCTCGCGTGGAACGAGTCGGCACAGCTTTTTATCCCTTAAGATTTATACATAAGATTGTTTTAAATTTTATATTTTGTTAAGATCTCAGGAGGAGGAAATTTACTAACAGTATCCAGAGCACCGCCTAGTGGACCTGTAGTCATATGTACCTGTAGATCCCGGACCCTTTGACCCTTGAGGAGACGTGCGTCATCAAAACCGACTCAACAATATACGTCGGGCTGGAGACGCTGTTTTAAAAAACCTTGTTTTCTATTGCTATTGAAGGTTTTATTGTTGTATTGGTTATAATTATATCTGATTTTATATTAGATATTATTGTGTATTGAGCCACTAACACAATTACGACAACTTACGAGAATATGGACACTAAAATATTAATACGAATTTATTAATCTATGAAGTTGAGCAGTGACCAGCTTGCAACAATGTCCATTCTGTATTCTGACTACATAAATATATTTTGAAGATATTGGGGAGTGTTTACACTAGTATTATAGGTTTGATGTCGATCTCCGAACTCATCAAAATAGTCTACCTATTATCGCATTCCGGACTTCGCGTTTGATTCTGTTCTGTTACTTGGATTCTTTCGGTCACGGCTTGCAGAGAAAACAAATTATTACATTATGACTGATCAACTATAAGTCATTACAAAGTACTAGCGGCGCCAAGAAGAGCGGTGTCATTTTGTGAAGGGGGCTCGTTGCGCCGGCGCGGTATGTTCACCACTAAATTTAATAATCATAAGTTAATCTGCACAGAATACAGAACATAAATATGAAAATAAACTGTTCTTCAAAATAGACTTCGAATACAAAACACTTTACATTACATTTGTTTTAAATTATTTTAAACGATGTATTTGGTCATTATTTAACGATTCTCTCATTAGACGGGAAGCGTTCTAAATAACAGCGAGAACTATCGTCAGTACGACGTCTCTACGTGTCGGGGCCCGCGGGCCGCAGCTCGGTGCGTTGGATATCTTACTAAAGTACACAACAAGGCGTCGCATTATTCCACAGCTGTAAGAACCCGATTGCTCTGGATTCGCGGACGCAAGCTTCAGGTTAATAACCTTTTAAGTACATTTCCTCGATAGTAGAGTTTTACAGCCGGCGCGGTGACCGGCTCCGTGCGTGCGTCCGTGCCGACTTTATTACTGCATTGTTTAGCAAATGCACACAGTTAATGTTCGTCCTTTTCTTAATGAATTGAACCACATTCCGAGCAACAAGATCTCTAGGATGTGACGGTAGCCATCACAAGATAATTGACAGATGCCTGAATCTCGCTTACGACATTTTCAAGATAAGCTTGCCTATATACAAGTTCCGAACAACAACATTCGGACCGTCGGTCTACGCAGTAATATCACCCGCTCGGTGGAAGATCTACTTTTTGTCGTATTTCTCCAAATAGGACATATATACTTAACGGAGAGGCCACAATTATTAACTCCATCGTCAGACATCATAGGGGCGAACAGCAGACGAAACGTATGACAGTTCTTAGCACGGAGGCACCGCTCTACAACAAGGCTGGTTGGTAAGTGTATTGGCGTCTCCGCGCCTCCATCGGCTAGGCTCTGTCGTAGCACCAAGTTAGCCGAGTTCCGACGACACCGCGATCGTGCTGCCATCTCTCGGGAATAGTGCTGCGTTTTGTTTAGCTACCAAACTAATGACCGTCTCCGAGATACATATATTGCGATGATCAATGTTTGTTCACGATTATGTTGTGAAGTAGATAGAGTAAGTAGATAGACACGTTATTTTTAGTAGCGTACACGAGCAGAAGAGTGGTGTTTTTTTATTTTTTATTGCTTGGATGTGTAAACGAGCTCACGGCCCACCTTGTATTAAGTGGTTACCGCCCCCCAGACATCAGCAACGTAAATGCCGCCACCCTCCTTGAGACATGAGCTCTAAGTCTCAGTTTTACAGTACAACGGCTGCCCCACCTTACAAATCGAAATGCAATTACTGGTTCACGGCGGGGACCGGCAGGGAGATGGTACCCGCCTACGGGGACTCATTAGATGCCCTACCGTCAGTATCAGTAACTATGCAAATTATAATTTTTGCGTGGTATTTTTTATGAAATGATGTTATTATTTCACCGCGGACATTTGTTAGGTACGTGTTTCATTATAAATAGCGAAGCCGCTCGCTCTCGACTCGAACACGCGACGTCACACTCTGAAATGCAACCGAACCGTCCCTAGTCTTCCAAACAACAACCAACCACAACGAGGCAGAAGAAGACTCAATCCATACCGTAGACGTCCGTCCAGTCTACCCTAGTCTACCCTGTGTAAGAGAGAAGTGAATGTAGTGGCTGAGGTGGCAGCTGGCCTGAGCTCCCTCTGCACACTACACTACTGCTACTGCCACTGCCACTGTCACTGTCACTGCTAACTACACGTTACGTCACATTACAACATTTTATTCATATTTATTATTAATAAAATATGAGGTGTATTTTCCTGAAGAAAAATAACAATAATGTAATCCGACGAATCAAAAACTTTGCATGAAAGCTTTCAACGATCGTTTTTATCTGAAAGCGAAATGTAAAAGCTTTCTCGAGAAATGTAAATAAATTTCTAATAAAACGATTTGTTTAGTGTGCTCAATTTGTTTGTTAAATATGAATATATTTTTATTCAAATCTAATTGAATAGGTTCACTGGTAACTTTCAAGGAAAAGCTTCAATTTGGTGTGAAACTTGTAACATCTAACAGAGTTCTGACCGTGCACTGATAGGTACCGCCGCCTTCATATTCGTACCCTGAAGTATAAAGCATTTCAATCTGCAGGACAGGTCAGCCGCAAACAGAAAACAATACAACCTCATGGGGCGCCCGCGATCTCCAGTCACGAGATGAGGGTCGGCCTGGTACCTGTATTAATGAGATCTGTCTATATTAATGAGAAGCAGCTCGGAGTGGCACGTCGAGCAGGTTCGGACCTGCGCTCGGCGGCCGGGGAGAGGTACTCTCATCATCGCCCGATGTATTATTGAGGAACGTCGAGAGCGGCTGGACAGCAACAAGGATACTTTATTGAATACGAGCAGCTCAGAACAACAACATTAAATGTTATTGTGAATGATAAACAAACATTACGAGCTCAAAGAGTCGCGCGCGCATCCGAGCTCCTCCGCCGTCGTCCGACGGACCTGGGCTAGTTCCATAGTGGTATCACAGCGGGGCCGGTTAATCACGACCGCATCAATGCTGAAGTCTCGTCTGCGGCGGCCATCTTCGACGTCACAACTATCGCTTGCTCGCTCTACCGCTACCACATCTCCTCTTCGGCTTAGTTACAGCAGAAGTTCAACATGAGCGGTTTTAGTTGTTTTAAAAAAGTAATTATTACATTATTGTTCGGTGGTACCCCTCAATACGTATATGTATGTAGATAGAGTAAGTTTTATATGTTGTACTTCTAGTTCTAGATCGTCGGTAGGTACATAGGTACGAGATGACATCTTCATCTATACTAATATGTTAACAATTTGAAGCGATCTGAGTGCGCTGGTCTGGTACCTGACGAGGCGGCGGCGCGCGTGGCTCCGGGGTGTTCGACAATACGATATTATTGAAATGTCACGCAGCTCGTGTGTTATCTGTGCTAATTAAATACAACATTTACAAGTCAAAGTTGTACATTAGTCTAAGACGCCTTATCATAAGCTTCACAGCAGTGCGTGTGCGGAAAACAAACAATAAACCATCTCGCGACGACGCTAACGAGTCGCTACTCTCACGCGGAGTGCGGCGCGGTGCGGCGGTGCGGTGCGGCGGTGCGGTGCGGCGGTGCGGTGCGGCGGTGCGGTGCGGCGGTGCGGTGCGGCGCGGTGCGGCGGCGCGGCGCGGCGGCGGTACACTCGTGCGTGCAACGGCTTCGTTACGACATGTATGAGCTTGTTTTATTTCAAATTGTACAATTAACTTTGCCATATCTTGTGGTTGACCGTTAGACGTACACAATGGTATACAAATGTATTTTGAAAGTGTATGTACCTACGTATACCCATACGAGTCATTAGATGTAGGTATTTTGTGTGCGCTGTAAGTGCACCCTGAAATATTACCAAACAATAAAATTACTAATATCTTATGTTTAAGCATTAGGTTTCCTCCAATATAACTTTGAAGAGGTTTGTCCGAATAAAAATGTGTCCATTAGCCGTACTTTCAGAAAAAAAACAACCTAAGTGCTAGCTGACANACCTACGTACACCCATACGAGTCATTAGAT